CACTCACACTCAGGCGGGACGGGGCCATGCGCTCCCTGTCCCTGTCACCACCGCCTTTGAGGAGCCTCAGCTCCGTGACCCTGACCCAAAGAAGTGCCTGCTCAATGCTCAATGAACTCCGCTGAGCCAAACTCCCTTTATAGAAGCGAAAACGCTACAGTGACAAACTCGGCTGTCCCCGGACTGTGCTAGTTCTGTTAGATACATTGTTTCATTTAACTCTTCCCATGACCCCTGCAGTGGGAGGGCCTGTCTTCGTTTACAGACGAGCAAACTGAGGCTCAGAGGCGGGAATGAACTTGCCCGAGGCTGCACAGCGTCACGGGGCCCGGCGAGGTCGGAGCCCGGCTGCGCGAGCCTCCAGAGCCCGCGCCACCCACCTGTGCTGATGCCGCCCGTGGGCCACGTTCTGCACAGGCAGGGTGACCACCCTGGCGGCTGGGCTGTGCCCAGGATTATCTCCACCTGCGGAGCATCATCCTAGTGGGCGAGAGTGGGGTGCCGGCCGCTGGAGCCCTGGATTCCAATCAGGTTCTCGTGATACAAGACACAGCCCCCCTGGGCCTCTTGTCTCCAAGTGGCAAATAAGACCAGAGACGGCAGTGCCTCCTCCTCAGGCAGCTGGGAGCGCAAACTCCGGGGGTCAGCCCTGCATTTGTCCTTTGTCCGGGGCCCCACGAACGACTTCACGGGTCCACGCTTCAGATGAAGCTGTCAACGATTTCCTGTCACGTGTTGCCTCTGATTTCAAACCACCCAGCCTCGTGGGCCCCAGAACCCTGCACAGGTACCATGTTTCCCCCGGAATAGTGAGTGGTGAAAATACACCGTTTAAAATAGCCTGCTTCCCAATTTGGAAGAGCAGTCTGCCAGCCCCCGCGGCTCGGCGCAATGCTAATGGGTTTGTTTTTTGCTCCACGACTCCTTCCCTTGTCAGCACTTTTGTCTTCCCCCATCTTTCCTGGCTCACTTATCCCACTGAGGCCAAAAATATCCCCCGATCCAGCTCAGTGAGCGCCTGACCAGAAGGGCTCACCCCAGTTCTTTCCCCTCCCACCTCCGGGCCGGCGGCGGGGCTGCGGCCCTGAGGGCTGTGTGGAGAGGCCCCCTGGACCCAGGGCCCTGACTCTGCGTGGAAGTAGCATCAAACCTGTTTATTGGGAGAGGGTAGCTGCTGGGCGGGAGCTATGGCAGTGACCGATACGTGGGCCTCGCCAGGCTGCACAGCTTCCAGGCCTGGAAGGAAAGGCAGACTTACAGAGAGAGCACTAGGGAACGTTGGACTAGACCAAGGATGCACAAGATGCTGGGGAAAGAGCAGGGGGTTGATTAGAACAATGCTGTGTATCACGGGGGGCTTCCTGGAGGAGGTGACCTTTGAAGTGCGCTTCGGTGCGTGAGGAGGTATTTGACAGCGAGGTAACAAAGGTAAGGGTGTCTCTATCATAAAAACAGGCTAAACTTAAGCTGGGTAGGGGCAGGGAGACCTGTAGAGCAGCGATACCCAAAATAAATGAGAAACAGTCAGCTTTGTTGAAGTTGCCCAAAGTTCGGGGCTCAGAAAATTTGCAAGAAGGTATTTTAATTTTATCAACACGTGCCGTTTCGAAATACAAAAATTTCATTCTGAATTAGCGATGGCGAGCTTGGACGTGTCTTGGCCCTGCTGCGCATTCCCGATGCGAACCGTCTCGGCGAACTGGAGACGCACACCAGGAGTCAGGCGGCTGGCGCCTGGGCGTGAGGGGCGGGAGCCGTGAAGCTGAGCAAGAGGCAGGCGGGGACCCCGCCCAGGTGCCTTTGACCATGATGCCTTCTTCACCTGAAACCCCCGCCTGGGCCTGCCAGTCAAATTTCCATCCGTCCTTCAAGGCTCATCGGGGTGTCGCCTCCTTCTTGCCCCCAGGCCTGCCCTGCACCTGGATGCTGTCCCCCATCCGCTCCCTGCCCCCAAAGCCCTGTGTATACCTAAGTCCTTGCTTGGCCCTGTGGCTTTAGCACCTGTGTAAGAATGAATGAATGAATGAATGAATGAAGAATGAATGAATGAGCCTTCATTGCTGTGGGATACTTTGAGCAGTAGAGAGGGTAAGCGAATGAAATTTTAAAATGACATCCGCTCCCTGGGTTACTTAAATGCCCCAGGAGTGTTTGCCTTCCGAAGGAGGAAAGCCAGCAGCTTCCTCAGGCGTCACCCATCGAGCTGAGATGGAGCCTCCATTCATTCGTTCATGCACCCGGGTCTCCCTCGGGTGGGGGTTACCTGCCGGCCCCACGTCAGGCCTGTCCCGGGTGCCGGAGGTCTAAGAAGGACTCGAGTCCCTATACCTGTGCTCAGGGGCAGTGTGATGGGGGAGGTAGAGCAGTAGGTACTAATGTCATCGTAAGCACCTTTTGAAAAATGCATCATGAGTAAAAGCACTTTCACGAGGGGATGCGGGCTCCCCGGGCCACATGCCCCAACAGCGTGGGAGCTGCTGCCCTGGGGGAGCGCAGAGCCTGGCCCCGGAGCGTGGTGTGGATGTTGCATGAACCCCGCTGTGTCCAGCGAGATGTGTGGAAGTCTTGGGGACCTGTCACGTTTTCCCGATTGTCCAGGGAAGCCAGGCGCGGTGCAGAGCGTTCAGAAGAGGCGGGCCGATGGGGTTTGTCCAGGAAGCCGTGGGAGCCGGGAAGAGCTCGAGCAATAACAATATGGTGCTGCTTACAGCTCACGGTATAAAATACATATTCATGAGTTCGTAGTGATGTAAACAATGAGTGAATAAGTAAATAAATGGGGAGAGGAGATGAATCTCCTGTATGGAAGGATTCCCAATAATGTATGTAGCTGCTCCGCCCCCGCGGAGGGGGCCGACCCCCCACTCCTCAGGTGTGGGCCCTGCTTGGGGGTGCCCTCCCCAAGGGACAGTGTGGAAGGGCCAAAAGAGGAACCGGGCAGTGGAGAAACCCGAGTGGCCCGGCCCAGCCAGGGAGGGCAGCATCCCAGTGACAGGCCACGGGGACGGCATGCGGCCTGGTTCTAGTACCGTGAGGATGGCACTGCCCCTGCACTCTTCTCCCGAAACCCTGTTACCCCAGTATCACCCCAAGAAAAACATCAGACAGACCAAAATTGAGGGACCTCCTGCAAAATGCCTGACCAGGGTCCCTCAGAACTGCCAAGGTCCTGAAAAGCAAGGTGCGTCTGAGAAACTGTCACAGCCCAGAGGGGCCGGAGGAGACGCGTGAGGACCGAGCGTGGGGTGGGGTCCTGGGTGGGGTCCTGGGACAGATAGAGACGTTAGTGGGAAGGTGAAAGATTTATGCGATCTAAAGAGAAACCAGAGTATTAAGACTGGTGAAATGGGAACGAAGTGTGTCGCTCAGAAAACACATGCGCCCACATGGGTTCCTTTATTGCAACAATGTATCTACTAAAGGAAGGTGTGACTGACAGGAGCCTGGGGCGTGGCCTGTGTGAGCTCTGTTTGTAACCTTTCTGTCAATCTGTAACTATTCCAAATAAAAGTTTATTTAAAATAAAATATTTTTTTCTAACCTCCCCACTTAAAACCAACCATGATTAACACTTGTTTTTCCGTCCATTCTTTTTTTTTTAGATTGAGTTATAATTGACATACAATGTTATATTAGTATCAAGTGTACAACATCATAATGATTCTGTGAGTGTACCTACGGTGGAATGATTGTCACAATAGGTTCTAGTTAACATCCATTACCTCACATAGTTACAATTTTTTTTTTTTTTTGTAATGAGACCTTTTTAAAAATCTACTTTCTTAACAACTTTCAAACATAAAATGCAGTTTTCTTACCTGTGGCCACCATGCTGTGCGTGACGCCCTCAGGACTGTATTTTATACCTGGAAGTTTCTGCCCAGCCTCGGTGCCACCAGTCTTTTCTGTGTATCTATGAGCTTGGTTTTGATTCCACATGTAAGTGAGATCACAGGATATTTGTCTTTCTCTGTCTGTCTGACTGACTTAACATGATACCCTCGTGGTCCATCCGGGTTGTCACAAACGGCCGGATTTCCTTCTTTTTCATGGCTGCGTAATAATCCTTTCGTTCTTCATGGATTTTCCACCGACAGGGTCATACTTACTTTATACATTTGCCATTGACAAGTTGACACTGAATTCCTTGTGACGTGGTTAGTGTGGCAGCACAGGAATCGCGCTCGCTCCGTCTTCGAGCCCTGCCTTTGTCCTGAGTGCACGGGCTCCCTTGTCATTAAACGTCTCTGCAGACATGAGTCTGTGATCTCTGGCTCCCTGGCCGCACCCCCTTCGTCCTCTGTATGAACGACGGCTCGAGAGACATCTCCCAGCACATCTTGTGCCCCTTTCAGGGCAAAGTCACCAAGGGATCAGCTGTCCCCTGTGGGTCTCCTTCAGACCCTCGGTTTGCTGGGGAGAGGAGGGCCTGGGGCTCGAGGAGGCTAATGGATGTACCCGGGGAGCTCACTAGGTGTCCCCGGAAAGAAGGAACCTGTTGGATCATCACTGGCTCACGTAGAGGCGGGGGCTCCGTGCGGCTTAGTGATTTCTGGAGGGATGCTGGGTGGAAGGCCCTCCCAGCGGGGCATCCGTGCAGAAGGGGTCCCACTGCCCCACGCCAGTCCCCCGGGAAAGCCGTGCTCACCTGTGGCCAGGTGACAGTCCCATCCCCGCCCCACAGCTCCAGGCCCCCTGAAACGCCGGGGGCTCAGGAGTCACGCTCAGATCCTCACCTGGGCTCCGTCCTGCCTGGCGTGTGACCTCGGCAGTTTGCTTCCCTTCTCTGTGCCTCAGTTGCCCATCTGCCCCGCAGAGGTGCCCCTGGCACAGTGAGAGCCACCTTGTGGAGTTCCGGGGAGGACAGCTTGGCCGCACTCCTGGCAGGCCCTCGCTGCAGCCTGCCCGGCGCCGGGAGCCGCTTCACGGACGCGGAGACGGAGGCACGGGACGGGAAGCGAGCCTGCCTGTGCGCCCCTCACGTGCTGGCTCTGTTTCAGATCTTCTTCCTGAGCTCCTCGCTCAGCAGCGGGGAGCAGAGCCTGTTCCTCAGCACGGACGAGGCCTCCACCTTCCAGAAGCAGCTCATCCCCTTCACTGTGGACAGGTTCATCTTCCACCCCAAGCACGAGGACAAGATCCTGGCCTACACCAAGGACAGCAAGGTGAGCGGCTGCCCGGCTGGTGGGCGAGGGGCCGCGGGCGGCTGCCCCTGGGTGATGTTTCCAATCGCGGGGACCCAGAAGCCCTGGGCAGGCCGGGGTGGGGCCCAGGGCGGGGGGTTCTGGCTCCCCTGTTGCTTTCTCCCCGAGGCGTCGGGAGCACCCACTGGGCCGCGCGGTGTGAGAATGGAGCAGGGCACAGGAGGGGGTGCAGGGGGTGCTAACGGGGGAATGTATGAATAGATCACTGTTAGGACTCTTCCCCTCCGCACCCCACTTCCCCATCCAGAACATTCCCAACGCTGCAGCAAGCTCACCAGGCCTCGCCCTCGGCGGGAATGTTCTCCCACCTTCACTGATGAGAGGGAATCACCCTTCAGACCCCACATCAGCATCCCCTCCCCTGGGGCTGTGCCCGCCAGCCCACAGGAACCCGAGGACAGACACCTCCGTGGGCATCCCTGCAGCCACTCTGCCAGTGGCCACAGGCTTGATGGCTTACAACAGACTTCCTCCCTCACAACTGTGGAGGCCAGAGGTTTAAAATCAGTCTCACGGGGTCAAAATCACGGTGTCGGCAGGGCCTCTCTCCCTCTGGGGCTCCGGGGGACCCCCCCGTGCCTCTCGCGGCCCCTGGCTTTCCGTGCTGGCACCCCAAGCCCCCCGTTCATCCTGGACGGTGGGTCGCCCCTCGGAGGAGGCTCGTTTCTGACCGAGCTTCTGTTTCCCTTCTCTCTGCCCCAAAGCTCTACGTGACGTGTGACCTGGGAAGGAAGTGGATGCTTCTCCATGAGCAAGTGACCAAAGAGCACGTGTTCTGGTGAGAGCCCCGAAGACGGAGTGTTAGCCCTGTGCCTGCCCCGGCTCGGGGCTCCCCACCCGCTCCTGCTCTGCCCCCAGCCCTG